ATGAGATCTCAGGAAAAGGCATTTTCCTCCTCTGAGATTATGTGCATGGTCACCTCTTAAATCACATGTGCCAGAGATTCAGGAAGTAAAAGGTGAGCTAGTACTCTGCCCTTAGTAAACATGGCCACTGTCAGAAGACTGGGGAAGAAAAGAGAAATAAGGTGTGCAAAGAATACAAAGCCGGCAATTATCTATAAGTATGTGCTTGTAGATTGTCATTACTACACATTTCTAAAGGTGAGTTTGTTATTTTAATAGTTAAGGTATAGTTCTGCTTTAATAGTTAAGGTATAGTTCTGCTTTAATAGTTAAGGTATAGTTCTGCTTTAATAGTTAAATTTTCAAAATGGATTTGAGTACCTTAACTCCTGAGTTTCGGGTCACTTTAACCCTAATAGTTCTGCTTTAATAGTTAAGGTATAGTTCTGCTTTAATAGTTAAATTTTCAAAATGGATTTGAGTACCTTAACTCCTGAGTTTCGGGTCACTTTAACCCTACCTTGAGATTTTCAGGACAGAAATATCCACGCTGTCTATGCCATCTTGTTTTGAAGCTGCTTTAGGGCTTTCATTCTTGCCGTGCCAACACTTGATATGCACATTCTTGTTCCAGGTCAGTGAATCACATAATGATAAAGGCAAGATAAGATTAACGAGCCTGGAGCATGCAACTTTCAAAGGCTCCAACCCCAACGGCAGCTACCAAGTGTCTTTAGCTTACAGGTTCCAATACAGAAATGACAAATGTATTTAATACAATATGTTGTTGCAGGAAACATGCAATTACTTCTGTAGAATTTAAAGTGACACTGAACTCAGGCGTTAAATTTTCCAAATACATTCAAGTGCCCTAACTATTAACATAAATGTAATTTATTTGTATTCCACTCAGCTGTAGATCCTCAAATCCTCTCTGAATTCATGCCGACAGTGTCCTTCCTTCTGGAGGGTGGCTACTTTTGTTCCTCAAGGTTCCTGTGTGTGTTGTAAAGTAGTCACCGATCCAAGCTCACTGTTATGGAATTAAAAGAGAACTATGGTTCCCTTTAAGGTCACAAGAGACCCAAAGCCGCAGTTGGGACAGATCCGGACAAGACTATCTGGATCCACCCAGCTGCGTGAGTGACAGCAGGCTCTGCCTATCTAGAGGCTGAACCAGCTATGCCTGCCCCCTCCCCCGTCTGTTCCTCCAGTAAGCGCTGGAGGACCAGAGGGGAGGGGGGAATCTTTGCGGGGAGCTGTGACTGACAGTCACCACTCTCTGCAGGGAGATGATCAGGAAGTGAAGTGAGTGACGGTATGTGTTCGCTCCCTTACCGATCAATAGAGCCGAACTGTGACCGCTTCTTTGTCACAGGTAGGCTCTAACTATGAGGATGAGTGGAAACCACTCACCTCATAGATCTCCTTTAAATAGCTTACCAATTTGTATTGAGATTGTAAACTATAAATCAATGATATGTAAACTATTCAGCATCAGAAGGAAAAATATAAAATAATATGTAAAACCCCCATAAAAGATAAAATATTCAATCCAATTCCATAGAACCCATTTCTAACAGAAAATTAAGAATTATTCAGATGGTAATTTCAATAATCATAAAAATTAAAAAAACTAATGTTTCAATTGTGTGTTAGGAAGAAAAAAAAAAACCCATAAGAAACTTACGGCATGTACGCAGTGAATAAAGCATATTTGAAAATACTGCTTAAATAAATGCTAGAATTATAGGTGTATTATATTCTCTCAATTCTCACAGAAGACATCTTAAAGTGGATAACCAAGAGTGACCCAGTCACCTCAATGTGTTTTCAGGCAGTGGAAAAAAAAAGGTGTTTGAGGCAGATTACAGGAGTAGGAGAGCATAGACAAGACCTGACCAGTGTAATGACACCTTTTCATAGTGCACGGAGAAGGCAGATGATAGTCAATGGTGATTTCACCCTCATGACGTTGTAGAGTAACAGTAGTAAATTACAAGACTGAACGGAATTAGAGCTATTTGGGTAGGTAGGACATGCACACGATATGCATTTTATTTATGTATTTATTTGCTGAGCACCACAAGGAAGAACTGGAAGAATTTAATGAGGAGGGCATTTCTAAACTCTCCTTCCCTTTTCATACCATTGAGGTGGAATATGTAAAAAAAAGGGAGGTTTGTTTTGTTTAAAGTTGATCTACATCAACTTTGAGGGAAGAGACACATTCACTTTCCTCATTTCCTGTCTCAGTCAAGCCCATACAAGAAATGGAAGGTTCAACAGACACCAACGGTTACAAACTTATGACAATGTTGTATTGGTGTCCTTGCCTCAACATGGGGGCTTGTTCACACCGTTAGTGGCTGAAACCCACTGGATCGCATAGAGCAAGCCTCCCTACGTTCTGTGGTGTAAGGGGGCGTGGTGGTGCCTTTTAAGTCAATGACAACGCAGTCATGCCTCCTGCCCCAATGCAATCGCCCGCACAGAACACATGGCACAGTAATGCCCGCGATGCAATTGCAAAAAAATAGCGCACACACTGTGGGGCGTGGCTGCAGTGCCATTGACTTGAATGGCACCACCACGCCCCCTCCCACCACAGAACACAGGGACGCTTGCTCTATGCGATCCAGTGCGTTCCAGCCACTAACTGTGCTGGAACGCACTGGATTTGGTGAGAACAAACCCCCATACTGAGGCAAGTACAGCAATACAACATTGTCATAAGTTGTAACCCTTTCTGACTCAACTAAAAGTGTTTGTCTGCTTCCTTGTTGTAGAGATATCCCATGAGTTCCTGTCCTGAATAGAAGTGAAATGTCCCAATAAAATCCTGACAGCAGCTCTAATTATTCCATGCACTATTTAAGATGTAATACGTTTTGGTTGGAGATAAACTACAAAGTAAATCTGTACTTCTGTAAATACAAAAGTCAAAACTCCTGATCTGCTTTCTTATTCTGGATTAGTGACTTGAGAGCTAAAACCAATTATCCCAGCTGGACATGCACACAGGCAGTATTTCAAATGCATACATCAACAAAGGCAGCCTCTATGCTCCTTGTACAGAGTTGCTCTACAATATCACAAACCAATGGCTTTACTCTATATATAAGTGTAAAACTGAACCCTTTCACTGCCCCAAAAGTAAAATGTGGAAAAACTGCTGACTGGGTCATTTTAGATTTGCAGACTCTCCTTTGGTCATTAAAGCCAAAAAGTTTTTATGCTCTGTCAAATGTTGATTAAATGATTTACAATGGATGCCCCCTTGTGTGCGCTAGTAAGCTGTGGGTGTATGTCCACAAACACGCAGATACAGCAAGGCACACGGTTCCTCTGTTCCCCACTCTTTCCTCCCTCCTTACTTTACCCTCCTTCATGATAGTAGATGGATTGCTGCTGGAGACTGTGCTGTGCCTTATGAGCTTATGTTGGACAGGAAGTTCAGGGAAGCCAAGCTGAGAGAGTTGGAGCTGTTAGGAACCATGATTGGGCAAAAATGTAAAGAAATACTTTGCTGGGCATGTACATTTGTTTGATCTGGATTCATTATTGACAACAAAAAAAGTTTGAGAGTTTAATACTACTTGAAATCTAAAGCCCCCACCCCTTCCCCAGAACAGCCATACCTGTAAAAGAAGACTGTCAATGCTTACATTTGCTGCTGCTCACACTGCCAGAATGTCATTCACGTGAAATCCACAGGGAAACCAACACCTTCAGGAGTCCCACTCTTCCGTGTCTCCTACAGCATTCAGTGGTTCCTCCTGCTGACATCGATAGCACTACTGTGTTCCATAATGCAACAGAGATTGCAGAACTTTGTGGACCCAGCAACACACTAACATGCATTGCTCTGTGTTGCACTGCTGTAATTAATGCATGCACCTTTTTAATGTTTTAGACATCCCACTGAAATAAAATTTCTTATAGCATGTTATACGTGCGTTGGCATACGCTGCATTACCAGCTATGTTGGTTCTCATTACAAAAGCAAACATGAGTTGCTTCGTTTAACATAAAATATTACCAGTACTGGTTGAAGGATTGGTATAAAAGCCAAACCAGGATACTTCCAATAAAGTTTCACACACTCTAAAGGACTGTGTTGACTCCTCAATAACAAGAACTATACCACTACAAAGCAGAAATCTCGATAAGTACAGGGCTCATCAGTCCTTGGGAAGGAGCATTTGTTTATTTCAGCCATTTTTTTTTTTATTGTCCCAATTAGTGTACGTTTTTCATCAAAGTGCTTTCCACAGGATCAAATTGGATAAACAATTCTCACATTATCAAATGCCAAGAAACTTGTCTCACAGTGGCAGAAGGTGGACAAACTGCACTGTGATATTGTGTAGGAAAGACCATGAACAATTCAGTACAGAACATAAAACATGTGTAGATTTATTGCAGCAGAAATCTCAGTGCAACAAAAGCAATGGAAAAAAAAATAACACAGGCACCTGTTTATAGGTGTTCAGCTCCCAGATAACAATGAATTCTTTAGTCCATTCCAGAGCAGGTTATGCTGTACAAAACAAGTCTACCCTTAGGTAGATGCTAAGGCAAATTCTTAAAATTCTGCCATTGTGCCATCTTTACGCGGTCCTTTCCTCCTGTGTTTATGCAGAGGTTACAAGTCAGTGAATAGTACAATCTGTTTGTCAATGCCCTCACCCAGATTGTGCCTTTTTATTTAGTGTTCTGGGGGCGACCGGCAGAGGAAGAAATATATCATTAGTGAAAAAACAAATATACTAGCACCATTCCTGGAACATCTCCACCAGGAGACAAGAGAAGGCCTGTGTAAAGCAAGAACATTGTAGTGTAAAAGCAACAGGACACCCCCCCCCCCCCCCCCACTCCTGGAAAGAAGAGGCGACCTTTCCCCTGCCAGTTTGTGCAACACAATATTAACAAGAAGTCCAAAGTTGCAGGCCTGGCTAAATGACTTACAAAACTGCAGCTTAAGATCCCAACTACATGTCAAAAATATGTACCTTTTCTAAAATCAAAAAAGGAGCTGTGAGAGCAGATCTATAATAGAATTAAAGTGTATGTGGCTGGTTCAATATCAGTTTATATGAAAATTCATGGCACTCGAACTGGACTAAAAAAAAAAAAAAAAAAAAAACATAAGAAGACACATTCATTGTTGTAAATGTATAAGGCTTGTGGTGCTTCGTTCCCATCAGTCGTCTTCTACTTAAAAAGCAATATCTTCTTTTGAACAGACTTTTCTCCTCTACACAATGACGCCATGAGATGCGAAGGGATACCCTCCGACTGAGGATCATGCACTTTCCCTGGCAGATAGCTCAGAGAAAGTCAAAGACCCCCGAATTCTTGGCTGCTTGATAAAAGAAAACACAATGGTAAAAAAAAAAATACTGATAAAATAAGATGTAAATTAAAAGTAGATCCATTCCACTACTGAGGCCTTTTTTCTTTAGGATGCAATATTAATTTGTTAAAATCAATCGGTTACAAAAGCCAAGCAACAAGGCAAGAATGCGGCCAGCCTCCTCCCTCTGTACAAACACACAGTCTGGAGCAGGGTCTGAGAGATTAGGTGCATGGATTAGTGGCAGGTGAGAGGATCCGTGCGAGCATCACACACACAGCTCATTGGGACTGGATTGACCTCCCCATTTCGGTTCTTAGTATCAAGATGTAAATAATAATTAGGAAAATTCTCATATAAACACAAACTGCTAAAAACAAGGTCAAAGTTGTAAAGTTTGCTCACATAACATCCACAAAGAACTCACTAGGGTTGCCCATGGCCATGCGGAAAGACTGTCTACTAGCGGTGAGTTCAGGTGGGACGGAGGCTAAATCACGGCTGGGTGGGGCTCCTGGTGGCCCCATCATTGGGGGAGGTGCCGGCATCATCATCATTGGAGGGCCATAGAGTGGGGGTACACCTGGGGGACCATAAGATTGGTGTGTGTGGTGGCTCCGGATGCTGTGTGCAATGGAGTGGTGGCTCCTGTGGCTATGTTCACTAGCTGGCACTGAACGTTCACTTGCTGCTCTTTCTCGGCGCATACTGCTCCGTGTAGTGTGGTCTGATTCACTTCCACTCCCTCCAGATTTCGTTTCTCCAGCCTTTGTGTCTTTGTCTTTTCTTTTTTCTGTACTACTGCGGTTGGAACCACTACTTCTACTACCTGGGAAGCCAAAAAAACAAAGAAATTAACACGGAAAATTAGCTTGAAGCAAAGTAAAATCTTGACCGTTTCACAAAAACAGACAGCTACCTGTAACGGGTAAATATGGAGGCTGCACTAACTCACTACTAATCATTAATATAATATTATTGCAACATCAGTGGGCTGTCCAGTGCAGAGGGAAGGATGAAAAGAACACTTTCTAGACAGACCCTTCCATCTTCAATGAAGATTGCCTTTGCCACAATCCTCTGAAAATGCTGACTGTGATGCTTTCCGAACAGAAGTTTTGGAAAGTCAGATTTCTGATCTGCGTACTGAAGCCAATGGATCAGTACAGGTAGGGAACTATCATATTCAAATGGTAGCCTTCAACTTCCTTAGCACAAGTTGCTCTTAAAGCCCCTTTCAACGGATCATTGTCCGCTTACATCCGACTCCCTATAGACCGACATGGGGTTCGGTCATTTCAGTTTTTCCCCCCATCACAAGATAAAGGACAAAACTGGATGGGCACAGAGGTGATAGCCGATCCGTACTGCTCTGATCAGACAGGGTGAAAGGGGCCTAAAGGATCTTGTGAACACCAGTGTCACCAATTGAATATATGCAGGTCACTGAAAACTGAACTTTTTGTACATTGGTACCATGTTTGTACAGAGCAAAAACATTACTAGTATCTCTATAATAGGCATACGCACAAAAGGCAGTTTTCTCTCTCCGGGCACCAAACATTGTTGATCCCAGAACACAATATACAGATGTATTCAGGCTGACTAAAGCAACTTTCTGACATGGTTTTCTAGGAACTAAGAATCCTAGGCATTAATACTTAAAGCATAGACTATTCAGAAAGTTTGCCAAATGTCCCTTAAACTTTTAAAAAAACTAGTTTTAGTGTTGGTTTTACAACACTGGTCAAACTAGAACATTTTATTTGTTTAAACCTTTTTGTCTTTAGATTGCAAAGAAATGAAAAGATAATACTGCCACAGAAAAAACCTTCTCCCTTTTGTTCTTTTATTTACTCTCTTGTTTTGGCATTCGCTGTAAAATCCTTCTCTTGGAGTCCACTAAGGGACATAGCAATACTTAAAAACACTGGCCAGCACAGGATAGCTCCACACATAACCATCAGGCATCCATTTTGTAGCAAAGAAGTACCGAGAGCGTAAAAATAAACAAAACACAGTGGAGTGGGACCTGTGTCCCTCAATGAACTCTGAGAAAAGGATTTTACAGCAAGTACAAAAATCCTATATTTCTTTTGATGAACTGGGCCAGACAGAGGGACTAGTGAAACGTGCCCTGGCTGAGGTGAAAGGCAGGACCACCTTCTAGAGTCAGCTTCCTGTACCCCCCACCCTTTCCCCCCAAACTAGGGGCAACCTGGGTCTCGGTGCCAAACAAATCAATTTGCCCAGGGACACTAGCAGAATACTGAGGCATGATGGTTGTGGGTGGTGTTATCCTGTGCTGGCCAACTTTTGCTAGTTATTCCTCCTGTACGCGGCAGTATAACCAGTCTAACAGTTTCTGTGTCCCACAAGGGACAAGAGAGAAACACCTTGTAATTTTGTCAGAAATCCTGTCAACTGATAACTTCCTGTGCTCACTGTCTGTACACAAAAGGGGGAGAAGGAAAGATGAGAAGGCTCTTTTTCTGTAATCTATCAGAAATAAAGTTGGCAGGGCTGACACCACATGCTTAGGGTTTTAGAGCTGGAAATACACTCTTATTCTGTCAATACTACATTTCTGGCACATCAACAGTTATTTTTCTGTACTTGCAGGGTTTTTAAAGGGATTAAACATGGGGAGAAAAGCAGGTACTGTACAAATTTACTAAATATGATTTTCTTTTAATTTTGTTTTTGCTTACCCTTTAATTATGTATTATTACTACCCGTTATATCAGCTTTAAGAATACACAACAAAAGGCAATTGCTCTAACACTGCAAGTAATTTAACATGGTAGGCAAGTCTTTCGCTTTAGAAAGTGTGTTTTCATTCATGCCCACCTTCACTGTGTTGGCTGCCAGCACTACCACCACCATAGGTGTAACCAGGATCTGGGAAACCTGGATGTGGGCTGTAGGGATGAGGCAATGGATACTGGTACTGAAATGCCATTGGCCATGGAGCAGCTCCTGGGTGCGGTAGAGGAGCAAGTGTGTCCTGATCAGATGTTCCACTAGACCCATCATGGTCATTGAGGGAGAGGTTTGCCATGTCTGTGGGGGAAGGAAAAAAGTAATTACATTCAGGTTTTGGTGTGTGATAAAATATACCCACCAGATGGCACTGTACTAGAAGTAGTGATGGCAAACAAAGATAAAGTTATAATACATACTGCCGCAAAGATCTCCAAAAATATAGTAGCACTGCTCAGAGAAAGTGATTTTATTGACAGTGTGGCGAATGTATCCGGCTTTAAGGAGGTTGCTAGCATATTTCCGCGCTTCCCGCCGATCCGTGAAGCCTTCCACATGGTTATAAAGCCAGTCTACCACATCAGAACCTGAAATGAAAAACATTAGGACAAAAAAATTAGAAAAACAATATTCAGTGAAATTGGATATTTGCTGGGAGAGGAAGCTGTAAAATGATAACAGCCATCAGTCTATTGGTATAATAATTGGTACTAAGTGCACTTAGGAGAAAAAAAATACAGTTTTACAAGGAGTTTTGTTTAAAGAAATGTTCCCATATTCTCCACTGATACAAGAGCACACACAGATCCCCTGTCACCAAGTCTAGATGCAAGTTGTAAAGTCGCTCTCTGATATGGAGCGTTTTTGATAGTCTCTAGGCGTTTATACCATAGTATTTCTGGGAGATACAAATGCAGACAATATGTACGGCCAGTTTTGTGGTTTATATCTGCCATTTCCAGGCAGTTGGCACACCCATTTCTCAGTTCAACAGAACCTCCCTAAGGCTGGGTTCACACCTGGGCTTACGGAATATGCACGTTTGCCTCGCGTTTCGGGCCGAGTGTTTTTACCGCTACCATGTGTGATTTTTCTCTTAGCAGTACCTGTACCCCTTTATGTTACGGTCTCCAAGGAACTCACCCAGGAGTTTCTTGAATGATTTCACACTCTTAGCTGAGATCACTTCCTGCTGCAGCGAGTTCCAGATCCTAACCGCTCTAATTGTGAAGAACCCCTTGCGCCCTGTATGTTGACATTTTTTTCCCACCAATTTTTGGTTGTTGGTTGTTACGGAGCTAACCGTAAACAGTTTGTTAATAATGTTGCTGTCACCCTTAACCTCTTGCCAACAAGAAGATCATGTCCCCCCCTTATAATCTCCTAACCTCCAACGAGAACATATTTAATTTTAAACAACCTTGTTTCATAGTTCAGATCCTCGAACCCCTTAATGAGTTTGGTTGCCCTCCTCTGGACTTTTTCCAGCTCAAGGACATCCTTTCTGAGTATTGGTGACCAAAATTGGACCACATACTCCAGATGTGGCCGAACCAGTGATCTGTAACCAGCGATCTGTAAAGTGGCACAATTATAGACTTGTCCCTGCAACATTCCCTTCTTAATGCATGACAGGACTCTACTTGCTTTGTTTACAGCAGTCTGGCACTGCGCGCTATAATGACCCCCAAATCCTTCTCCGTTTCAGACTTCCCTAGTGGCACACCCATAAGTGTATAGTCCATTTGCCTATTTTTAACTCCAAGGTGCATTACCGTACATTTATTAGACATTGAACTTCATCTGCCATACAGTTGACCACTCCCCGATTTTCTCCAGGTCCTCCTGTAATTTAATAATGTCTAAATCTGTGTCTACTAACCTCCCAATTTTCGTATCATCAGCCAACACTGAAACATGACTTCTCACTCCCTCCCCGATATCATTAATAAATAGGTTAAAAAGCATGGGACCCAGCACCGAACCCTGGGGCACGCCACTCATGACCTCTGCCCAGTTACTTACCTCTTCGTAAAAGGTCAGCAGGTTGGTCTGGCAAGAACGATCCTTCCTAAATCCGTGCTGCACCTCACTTATTATACTATGATCCCGAACGAATTCCACTAAGTAGTCCTTAATAATTCCCTCCAACAGTTTACACACTATGCATGTCAGACTAACTGGTCTATTGTTCCCCGGTTGGCCTTTTGACCCTTTTTTGAATATTGGTACCACATTAGCCCTTCTCCAGTCGCTTGGCACTCTACCAGCCATTACGGATTCCTTAAAAATGAGGAACAATGGTCTTGTGGTCTTGTTATCTCCTTGTTCAGTTCCTTGAGTACCTTGGGATGTCGATTATCAGGTCCTAATGCTTTATTTGCATTTAGTAGTTTAAGCCTATGTTGTATCCCAGTTTCAGTCAACCACTGAGGTGTATTTCTTGTTAAATGTTGTGTTTTATCATTTACATTAAACCCGTCTGTTTCCTCGGTGAATACCGACGAGAAGAAAGTGTTTAGCGCCTCGGCCCTCTCACTGTCGTTTGTGAGTAACGACCCATTTATGTCCTTTATTGGGCCTATCTGTTCCTTTCTCCCCTTTTTACTGTTTATGTACTGATAAAACATTTTTAGGGTTGTTTTAACAAACTTTGCCGATATATTTTTCACATTCAATTTTAGCTGCCCGGACTGCCAGTTTACATATTTTGTTACATTCTTTGTAGTTTTGGAATGCAGATACTGTCCCCTCCGTTTTAGAATTACTAAATGCTACTTTTTTTCCTTAATGTGTTTTACCGATTTATTTAGCCATATTGGCTTTGTTTTTGATCCTTTACTTTTGTTCCTCAGCGGTATACACCTGGTAATAGCATTTGTTCTTGAAACAGTCCCACTTTTGGTCAAAGTTTATCAAATAAGTCTTCCCATTCGATTTCACCCACTATGTTGCGTAGTTTATCAAAGTTTGCCTTCCTGAAGTTTAGGCTTCTCGTCCGCCCATCCCCCTTCCCTTTCTTGCGCCCAATATTGAAAGCAATCACCTTGTGATCACTATTACCCAGTGTCTCCTTAATTACGAAATCCTCAATTTACTCCGTATTATTGCTGATGATTAGATCTAGGATTGCATTTTCCCTAGTCGGGACCTCAACCATCTGATCCATGAAATTGTCTCGCAACATATTAAGAAAACGGGCTGCCTTAGCCGATTTGGAAGTTCCATTAGCCCAGTTGATATTTGGCTAATTGAAGTCTCCCATTACCACAACATTACCCTCTTTCCCCGCTATTTCTATTTGGGATTGTAGGTGGGCCGCCTCACCTATATTTGGAGGTTTATAACAGACACCCACAATAAGTTTACGGTTAGGGTTAGTTCTATCTAGTTCTAGCCATAACGATTCCACATCATCTCCACCATTTCGTCACGGTTGTGAATAATGAGGTTATGCGAATTAGGTTATTGGTTTTCACATGTTGGGCGTTTTACAGTGCGTAGGAACGCGCTGTAAAACGCCTAGGTGTGAACCAGGTCTAAGTCATTTCTTGCCAATAGTAAAGCCGACACAGGAGGCACTAGGGAACAATCCTGACTTTACAGTGTAGCAGATGTGTGTACACAATAAAAGTAGCTGACAAAAATTACAAATTCTTCAGCACATTAAATATTCACAATATGTTAAGCGCATTTTAGTCACTGGCCTGAAGTTTTAGTTCTAGCTTATGTGGGCAGCCAACTTACACATACTAAAAAGAAGAAGGGAAAAAAAAGCAAGATCAGGTTTCTACTTAAACCAATACTATAGGCAGAATTTCTATACGTACCAATAAAAGCATTGGGAATGGTTATCTTAAGCCACATCCTATCCCGTACTTCAAGGCCAGATTCTGGAGAGCTCATAGCTTTTACAATAGTTACCATATCACTATGTATGGATAAATGGAAGTCATCAAAACCTTTAAAGACATAAAAAGCAGCTCATGAATAAGTGACATAGGAAGGTTAAAAAGAAAGTCCTCCACTTAAAAAGGGATACAATGCATAACAATGTTCTAGCATGCTTAATTTAGAAATTTAGAACTGTAGAAATGCATTCTTCCTATATGGTCAATTAAAGTGACATTAAACCCTCCGATTTTTTAACATAAAACAATACTGTAATCCATGGTTGTTCCCCTTCTCTTTGCTGCTCTTCCTTTTAAATCCTTCACTCTTCTCATGCTTGGGGAGAACTGCCCTTTGCAGCTGAGTGCCTCTTCCTGTAGTGCTGGCTCAGGTTGTGAACCTTCACACAGACACCATGTATCCATTTCAGAGACGAGGCAGTCTGCTGCAAAACAGAAGTTCTGCCCAGCATGAGAAGAGTGAAGGATTTAAAAGGAAGAGCAGCAAAGAGAAGGGGAACAACCATGGATTACAGTATTGTTTTATGTTAAAAAATCTGAGGGTTTAAGGTCACTTTAAGGGACTTCACACATCCCAAAAGTTATTGTACACTCCTACTTACGCTCAGTTTCTGGGATAGAGCTTGTAATTGAAGAACTGGTTGACGTGATTGTACTCATAGATGGACTTATTCCATAGGCTGGGTAAGTGCCGGTCATTGCTGCTGTGTGCGAAATCCAAGCCGCTGGATCAATAGGTCGAATTGGTTCACCTAATTGTAATGAGAGAGCTAAGATGTAAAACAAGTAAAAGACACATTAACAAAGAAGCAAGCACTGATATTTGTACTTAATTAAGCAGAGAGAGTGGGAAGTGAAGGGGCAGTGTTGAAATACAAAATAGTTTAATGAGAAAACTCAAGACCTTCTAAAATTAAGTTTTAAAACCATGAGTGCAAGGAGTGGAGCAGATGCAAGATGAAGTTAATTTCCAAAACCTAAAAGTAACCAGGGCTCTGCCTCTTAAACATTTTAGGTGTGGAATAGCCAGGACAAAAGTTGTTTGCAATTAAAGCTACCAACACAAGCTTTTGAAACCTGTTAAGTTCAGTTTGGGAACAGTGTGTGTTTTTGTTTTTTTTTTACATCTAAACAAGTCGATGTGGAAACATAGAAACATAAGTGTACATTAGTCCTTAAAAGCTAAAAACACACTGCAAGTACAAACAAGGAACGGGCAGATCAACGCAGAAAACACAAGATTTTAAACAAGAGTAGTAAACAAAAAAAGTAAAAGGCCTAAAAGATTTACACTTTGTTTACATAGCTGTGTTGAAAAGTGTGTGTCAAACAAACATGCATGTACCCACACATAAATCGTAACTGTACCATTTTTTTTTTGTATCTCAGACAGCCACTGAAGGCCAGCAAAGCTCGTACGTGAAAGGGAAGCCATCAAATGTCATCTTAGCCATTTGAGCTATAGCTCTTAACCTGTACTGGAGGCAGCCATTGCTCAAATGCTGCATTTGATAATAGCTTTGGGGCAGCCTGCATTCTCACACAGAGTAATGAGTTTGCCTCAGAACAAATACCAGCCGGGAAGAGGGCAGCATTCATACCAGGTAAGGATCCCTGGCTAAGACAAGAGATGATAAACGTTTTCCACTGGTGAACAATAGTCTATGAGTTGTAATACAGAAAGTACATCCAATAGAGAAGCGTCTCCCAAACCTATTCATGCCCCATCCACAGTGCAGCTTTTGCCACTAACCTCACATAAATGCAGTTTTGGTGGGACAAATTTCTGAAACAATGTACTACACTAATAAAGTGTATTGTCTGGAAGGAGGGTTTAAGGTAGATAGACTCTGTCTTTCCAGCGTTTAAAAACGCATGTTAAAACACATTGGCAAACTCTCAATTACATTAAAGGAGTACTATGGCCAAACATTTTTTGCCTAAAGTTCTCCTTTGGTTCACAGGAGGACATTTACTAATGTCCTCCTGTGACCCAAAACTCAGCATATAGCGGGCTATTGCTTGCTATATGCTGACAGGGCAGAGCTATGCTGTAGCCGGAAAGATTACAACAATATTGTGGTGATCCACCCCGCTGCCTGATGGGCAGAGCCAGCTGTCTCTTTAGAGGCATGGCCCGTTGTGCCTGCCCCTCCCCCATCTGACCCTCCAGTCAGCGCTGGAGGAACAGAGAGGGGAAGGGTTATCTCTGCAGGGAGAAGATTGTAAGCGGAGCGATCAGCAGTTTGTGATTGCTCAGTTCTCGATCAATAGAGCCAAGGTGTGATAGCTGCAGTGTCGCACATTGGCTCTAATTATGAGGATGAGTGCATTTCACTCTCCCCATAATTCTCCGTTAATGTAGATAATGGTTCAAAAGGCTACCTTTGATCTGCTTTGTGTTGCATCAGATGCAGCATGCCCCATTAAGGTGCATTTAAAACTCAGGGGAAAAAAAATGGTCAAATGCAGCCTTTCCATGTTCAAATACAGTGCTGCTCAAACAGGTTTTCAAATTGCATTTTCCATTTGAAAACCTGTTTGAGCAGCACTGTATTTGAATGGAAAAAGGCAGCATTTGACAAATTACCATCTAAATTAGCCAGTGCCTGTTTAAAGGGCAACTGATGCCCTAGGCACAGCCCAACAATGATGCCTACCTCGGTCCCTCCAATGCTTAACTGAGAAGACATTAACACTCAATAGGTGCTGAAAGTGAAGTCTAAAATGTATAAACCTTCAGCATTCATATAGGTCAGCCCCAGGCCAGACCCCACAACTATACTGAATAAAAAGTTTTCATTTTATTTTAAGGTATACGAGCCCCATAGAAGTTTATGAAGTTGTAATGTGCCTGCACAGCCAGGAGAAAGAAGATTGTGGCACGGGATGTAAAACAAGGCCAAAATAGGCAGATCTCAGTAAATAAACACCTGTGGAGGGTGGAATCTGATAGCTCTGGATAAAAGGGGTAAAAAGGATAAGTGTACTTTGTTGTAAAGTGAACTTCTCTTTTAAGGGCATTCTCTTTTAAATGCGGTGTAGTCCTTTAAAAGGAGAACTAAAGGAGAACCCTTAGGAGAACTATGGGGAGAATGCTTTTCCCCATAGTTCTCCTACAGCTGGCCATACACCTTACAATTATCTGCAGATTTTCTGTGGTCAGATGGAAAAAGTGCAACAGATTGGCCCAGGTGGAGATTACTCCATCCACACAGTTTAGCGTAGATGAAGGAATCTGTTGCACCTTTTCCATCTGACCACAGAAAATCTGCAGATAAATTGTAAGGTGTATGGCCAGCTTAAGGGGCACGGGAGAATATATACCAAAAATTATGGTTAAACAAACACATCGCAAAAATGGCAAAGTCGCTCTTGTTTCCAGGAATGAAAAAAAAAATAGTGCGTCACTAACGGGTTAAAATGAAAGTGGGGAGAATTTTATCTAACAAAACAGCAATTTATACAGCAATAATAAAGTGATACATTTGCAGTGGATAATACAATATATAATTGCTTAAAACAAAAATGTACTGTTAAAAAAAGTACTTTCACGAGCACCCTTCATCATATTTAGCCACTAAATGCAAACGTCGGATGCAGCCTCACTGCCCTGCCTGCCCAGGGCAGCCTCCTGCTCCAGTGTACTCTACCTCATGGACTCCATAACCTGTACTAGTCATGCCCATTCATAAGAATAGCCATTGCAGGCACATGCACAAAGTACCCTCTTTAGAGCAGTGGTTCTCAACCTGTGTAACCTCGGGACCCACATGTTTCCTTGGTCATTAAGGCGTGACCCAAAAATGATTTCATTTCTGAAACATTTTAATTACACAAAACAACTTGTGCAGTATTCAGCAATATATATTTTGCTGAAAGTAAATGAATTAAAAAAAATTAAAAAGTTTATAAAGAATAAAAATTAAATATTTAAAAAAATTAAAATAAAAACGTGTATTTATGTCGCGACCCACGAGTTGAGAACCACTGCTTTAGAGTATACTGGAGCTAAAGGCTGTGAACACCATGCAGCACTGACCCTAGCAGAACAGTGCTGCTGCATTCCCTGGTATGTGTTTAATGTTCAAGAAAGAGGAGGAGGGTGTATATGGAGGGCAGTCCTTATTCAACAGTAAATTTACATGATATAAAGCCCTGTTCTGTATTAAAGTGTGTTCTATCAGAATTACTGTATACTATAATTAAGCAATTATGGCAAGCCTGTCATCCATTCTAAATATCTAAAACTGATTTAGGTGGAGCAGAACAAGACCTGGTCCCTACTGCGTCTTTGTCTATTCCAGGAGATGACTACCAGCTGTTGTGTGTCTACAGCCTCAGTTTTCATCATATTCCTACAGGGCAGACACTGCAGGATAAATACTGTCTAATGCATACATCTGTAGAAGACTATGGAGGCTGGTGACAACAAGCAGCCCCTCATCACAGCTAGGCTCACTGCACAGCCTATCTGCATGTGGGACAAGTGAGGGTGTGTCTTGCTCCTGCTCCAAAATTCCCAACTGCAGTCTCTGGCTGATCGGAGCTGATGCTTATTTAACTCTGTGATTCCATAAGTGGAATATGATATAAAAATAAGAAGCTTTCAAAAGACAAATATGCTATATCTGTAAACTCACTTCTGGGCAAAGTAAAGCAACCACGTGGAGAAGGATCCCAGCATTTGGCAACAGTAAGTGTAATTGGCCTGTAAATAAAAAATAAGTTTGTGTACATTATCATCAAATATCAGCTCTGAACACCAGATTTATGATATGTTCTTTGCAATGTCGATCATTTAGCTGTCCTTCTCCATTCCTTATGTATTACATTGGTCAAAGACTTGAGAGAATGGTCAGGTATGCCAGTATAATCCATCCACCCTCAGGAATCTGCATCAGCCAGCACATCCCTACACACAAATAGCTGCACACACCTTCAGCACCTGAAGGAAAACGACAGGGATCAGGCAAATTTTTCTGCAATTGTTACATCCCCCACGTAGCCCTGGTGGCTATTGTTTGGACATGCCCAATGAACAAAAGCTTGTCGATTGACCCGGAAGAAAATGGCCATGGCAACAGACTGTCAACTAATGTTGATAGATGCCTTTATCGCCAGTTTGCAAATTTCAATTCTGCCGATAAGTCTGCATGGCTTTTTATACATTTCATGTACCAAAAAATTCAAGGAACTGAGACTGTAAAAGCAGCACATATGTACTTAGTCAGGCATTGTACACATTTTTAATAAATAAATATTTTGTGCAGTTCAAAAAATAGCTGTCACGAGTAACACATAATTCAAAAGGCATATTAGAGGACAAACCCAAGAACAAAAAAGCAATATACTGCAGCTCTTCAGCACTTAGATGTTATGGCTGCTTTAGTTTTTATTTAAGTACAGAAAATATCAGAAAAGCATTGTTTGTGACTTCCAGTAATGTGGCAGTAAAATATATGTAACCGTCCACTGCGCAATCTGTACGGCTATAGAACATTGCCTCCTTCTCTGCATGCAATATAGCCTGCTACAGGAAAATGTACACAGTCCCTATGATGGACATATTGTACCTTACATATGGACCTAGGTTAGTTCCCAGACTTCCCAGGTGCTATGTGGGAGACACTTTCCCAGGATTACTAAATACAGCAATACTCAGAGGTGAGTCACTGTGAGGAAGGCGTGAGAGTTCCAGCTGTAATGTAAAGTTCCTAAATATATGTTAAATTACATTTTTTTATAGACTTACCCAGGTTTGTGAACAATCTCTCTAAGGACTCTGACTGCATCATCATTGGTCATGTTCTCAAAATTAATGTCATTGACCTGCAGAAATCACAGATGCAGGAACTGGTTAATTTAAAATCTGCAGGTTCACAAGAAATCGAATCGTTATTCAAATAAAGTACACCCGTCATTAAAAACCCCCCCAAAAAAACAACAACAGAGGCTACAAATACTAAGCTCCTTCTGAAAATACCATGTTGGCTTTGTTAGGCTTTAATACCTTTATCTCCCTAACACAGAGCAAGTATATAGCAAATAAGAGTCAGAAAAATCTAAATGTCTTCCTTCTATACTCGTCCTAGGTCATTGACTCAAAGTACTAAAGTCTAACTATCACCATGACAACCAAGCAATGGACTTTATCAGTAGAGTTTAACAGTTGTAACCCACATATTTAGCTCTTGACAGGTTTTCTTTAATACTGCTTTCCCAGTTCTACAAGATAAATCTAGATGTAACAAGTACCTGCAGTAACATATCTCCTGGCTCAATTCTTCCATCAGCAGCCACAGCTCCTCCCTTCATGATTGACCCAATGTAGATTCCCCCATCCCCACGTTCATTACTTTGTCCAACGATGCTGATGCCCAGAAAGTTGTATTTTTCTAGTTACACAGGTAATACACAACAGTAAATTAATTACCAGGAAACATTAGAACACAAAAAAAAAAAAATCAATCTGGGAAATACACAGAAACAGAAGCTGGTGTCTTAAACTCTGACCAGGAAAAGAAATGCTTACAAATGTTTTTGGGACAAACTGATAGATCACACAGCAGCACCAACACATCTGAATGTAAAAGGTGTGCCAACGATTGGCACTGTTTTGGACAGACAGGTGTCAGCTTGGAGAAAAGAGGAAGTCTATCTGTATGCCACACTCACCCATATTGAGAGTGACTGTAATTATGTTCAGTGACATAGTTGAATCTGTGATGCTGCTGAAGGACGACGACTGGAAAGAGAGAAAAAAAATGTCCATACATGTTTCAATACATTTCTACATTCCTACCATTTTAAAGAAGTTTATTTTTCTTTTTAAACATGCCACAAACATCCTTTCAGTGAAGTACTTTCTCCTAAGAGTATTTATGCTCAAAACCAGAAAAACACACACTTACTCTGCATGTACTGATGTAAATCAGGGTGGCTTTATTAATTGGTCAACATAATGCTGAAGACAGAATTCTGAAATGTCACGGGCAATTCAAATCTTAAAGTCTTGGTCATAACAGTCTAATCCCCCAAGCCAGTAGTCCTACTGCTGGCTGGACAGTTTAAGTTCTATATCAAAGAGAATTTGGTAGAATTGCTGAAGATGTAAAAGGCTACATCCAGCCGAAGGCTCCATTCAAAACAGGAGCGGTTGTCCACGTGTATTCGAACGGCCAAATACGCGGGGAGCCACACTAAACAGAAAAAACAATGCACTTTAAATGTGCATTGTTGAGACTTTTGTTGTGGCCGTGCGGCTCACAAAATAGTCCAAGCACGGTTTTTTTTACGGATTCCGCATGTTCGAGGCTATATAAAATAGCCGAAACGAGCGGAATCCGTGTGGATGAAAGACTTTAGCGTGTGCGTGGCCAAGCGGTCTTCCACACGGGAAAACGCAAATGCTATATGTGCATGGACCCTTAGCCACATATAACCTGTGCAGTCCCAAGGCCACCAGCCAAACTGTAGAGGACATACACAACCTCAGTTACACCTTTCATGACCAAAGATTTAAAATGTATTATTACATAATCAGGCGACATACTTCTAGTAATCCCCATCCATTTTAATGAGGTGCAACTGTCCCTAACTCCCCCAGATCAGATGGATAACCAGGAGTGGCAGAACAGAAGCTGGAAACATGCAGCACAGTACTTCTTCACCCCGCAAGAGGGGAGGAGGTTTTCACAGAGATTACTGTTAAAACAGCCTCACCACTAAATAAGCTTCCAATCTGGTGAAGTGACTTTTCAGAAAAGCAGAGAACATAATATAACATGCCGGAAACATTATATTATGTTAATCTGGGTCCAAGGCTGGTTCTTAATCTTCACATAAATCCCCTTCCCTCCATACAAACCTACAGACCTTAAATCAGACAGTGCTGCCTTTTCTAGGTGTCAGACCTGTGCACACCTTCAACTTTGTTTTCATCTTCCTCCAACAAACAGGTTAGAGTACTGTGTATTTACCTCGCTATAAATGTGAGGGTGGTAATGAGTGGGTGGGTGAGTGTTAATTAGCTTGGAAGTAAATGTAATTTGAAATGCAGTTTATCTGTAACACTATGTGCTGTATTCTATAACCTGCTCTCCATTTGTACTAATGGTACTGTAAAGGGAAATACATTTTGCACAATTTAATGTCTTCACAGAGATAGACCTCACCCTCTCAATACGGGGGGCTTTTGTTTTCCTTCTGCGCCTTTTGTGCCTCCTCATTAGGCGAGATGCACTGCTCTGTTCTGTGGAGTTACTAAACCTGCAAACAGATACAAATATAAAATATGACGTTTTTCCAGGACAGTAAAGGATCTAGCTGTTCTCTCTAGAATTCTCATAAACACTAGACACTGCCACAAATGTCTCCCCATTGTAGAGAGTTGGTGTATGCCTGTTGAGATGTTCTTACTCATTTTTTCACAGCGAGAAGTGATATGTCAGCAATCATTTAGATGTTTAAAAAGCAGCCAAGCAATCGAGTCATGGCCATTATATTTTTAACATTTGCTATCTTTTCATGTAAATGTTGCAGGTACAACATGCGCTCCTGATTTGCAGAATCACCAATATTTACTATAATCTACTCCATTAATATACTGCGTAATTACATCAAGCAGCAGGCAAATCAGTAGCATCACCTGCTGTTATGATCAGGTAAGCACAGGAATCAAAGTAATAACTAGGCGAATTGATCCTGTTTCTATTACCTTTCTAAATCTACATGTTCTAGTTGTAAGCCATGGCAAGCAAAGTAAACTGAAAACTTTAGGGGGATATGGCAGTATAATGCAAACTGAAAATTAAAAGAAAAAAAAAAAAGTTGTGCCAGTATAAGTTGTTGCCTGTATTTCACAACTCCCCCCAAAAAACACATCATTATACCTGCTGGTGGAATCATCCTCATCAGAGTCAATGAAGCTAGTTGTGTCCAGCTCGCTGCTCATAAGGGTGGATGAGCTTTCATACCCCCCCGTGTCCCTGCGCCTCTCCGTCTTTGCTGTACCATTTAGCCTGGGAGCTGTAAACGGGGGGGGGGAAAAAAACAATTGGAATGTAAAGCATGTATCTGTTATTTATAGAAATCTAAAGCAAGGAGTACATGATTGAGATACACATCGGTGGGCATAAAAGGCAAAACACAAGATAAAGAAATGTCCAGAAACAATTCTTCCGTTAGCCACACCATGCTAAAGATGGTTACATACTAACATCCTTGTGTTTCTCTAATTATCACACATTTTCTTTTTTCACAACATACACCACTACAAATATAATCATCCATGTTGGTTGTGTCAGTTTGCATTAGATTACCCCCGATCCGGCACAATTTGGTCCTTCAAAATGGAACACTGTTTCATTTGTTTTTCCAGATCTGGCCGGAGTCAGGGGTAAACAGGCGCCTGTCCATTTAGACCTGGCTACTAACAGACTAGCATTGGGCATCTGATCTGGTCCGCGTGATAAACTGACATGACTGCCTTATATTCTTTATCCACTCTTTTCAGTACAGTATGGCTATGTAAGGCTAGCCACATTCTGGTATTCAGGCAGTCAGAAAACCTATGTATGGTTAGCAAAAAACATAAGTTGGCAGTGAGAAAATCTGGCCACTATAGAGATGTGCTATTGTTCCGTCCAAACACAAGGTACTGTGTGAACATCAATGCAGCCAGCTTCATTTTGGGGAAACCAACACGATCACTCAGCAAAATCTCTAAGTCCCCGTTCACACCAAGGCAGCATCATTTTTGTGCATTTGTATGCGCAGGTTGAGCATGCTTTTTTCGTGCGTTTGGGAAAAAAATGATATGCAAGAAAACACGCACACATAAGGACGTTTCCATTGAAGTCTATGGGGGAAAAATGAGCTGTATACTGCCAAAAAAAGCTTATGTACATGTTTCTGCTTTTGTCGTTTTGCTTCTGGCATTTTGCTGCTCAGGTGTGAACAGGGGCCAATGAAAATCATGGGATTTCTTGTGTTAGGCAATTTAAAGCACTTCTTCTACTGCTCAAAAACACCTGGGTGTGAACCAGGCCTAGAATGACAATGTATTCCATAAGAAGGGCTGCCTACTGGGTGCTTGCAGAGGTTGCAGTGTGTCCAAACACATAGATCACTTTTTTTATATTTATGCATAAAAACCAGAAAAATATACAACATAGGTAAAGAGATGAGAACAGCAGGAAGAAATATAAATGATGTGATACAATAGATCAGCTAGATTATGTGAGGTAATAATAAACAAAATAGCAGAGACACAACCATGTCCAAGATGGTCATCAATGCGGGGAGTTCAGTATGCAGGTTATCGGCTCCTCTGCAACTCCTACATCAGCCATGTTGAAACTATTTAAAGCACAACAGGATCTTTTCAAATGTATATCACATTAACCATCCTATAAGATTAAGGTGCCAAGACAGAAACACATACGAGTCATAATACAAATCATCTTTTATCCGTAGGTAGTCTATAATAACAGAAAATCAAAGTACAGGAAGCCATATTTCATGGTTTACGAGTTTCATAATCCTGGGAGAATGATGATCATTAACAGGCTGATATAAGTTATGCCACGCTATGCATTCCTTACTTTATTGAATATAAGCCCATAAGCTGTAAGGCATGCAGCTCTAAAATCAGCGTAAACCAGGTTAAATACACTAAATAAAAACAATCCAGATGAAACGGAAGGGCGGTTTGAGAAAGCAGACAACACTATTTAATTACCAGCACTCAACTCATTTTGCACCTTGGTGTTTCAAGTTATTGCTTACGGCTGACTAAGCACAGATCATTTTGGAACCCAAGTAATTTCTTTGGCACGCAGAAAGGTAAAGATCATTACAAAATAACTTGTAGCCTTGAGACTACGTTTACAAGATTTTTTTTTAAATACCAACCTAAAAACAGATTTGATGAAGTCTAGCACACATCATTTTTGCAGACATGTGTGCAAAAGTTCATGTACCCTCATGTATATTTAATTTCCAATATACACTCTAGTAGGACCGACCAGCATATAGAACAGAACATCTTATTGTACATAGGGGGCCGTTTCACATGCGCATGTTTGTTCACTACAACCAGTTATGTATTTGAGGTCATTTTCCAATCAGTTCTAGAAAAATGGCATCATACTGTAACAATCTATTTTGTTTATGGTCGGCATTTTAATGCAGTCCACAAGTATTTAAACAGAAGAAAAAAAAAAACTGCATTAGCATACCCAATCAAAAGGTGACAATGGGGATATGAAACATCCTAGTTACGGCAGAACTCCAGCCAAATAGAACATAATAAAAAGCTAAAATAACATTAAAAGATACAAAAACAAAACAAAATAAGCTTTTGCAGCAATATTCACCTTCAATTCAGAGCTATCCCCCACTGTAGTCTTACTACTACTCTACCACTTGTCCCAGAGATCTCTGTGACTAAGCCTGTGATTGGTGAAATGCGTGAGACCAGAGGGGGGGCAGGGGGGGTATAAGATTCAATAAACTATCTCAGAGGAATCTGGTGTGCAGCTAGCTTTTCTTCTGTTTGCTCATATTGGAGCAAAGACATGCTCCCAGCGGCAAGCTCCCAGCTCATTCCTTTCCTGAGCTGTGGAACAGCAGTGCTTCTTTTATGTGTTTTCCTTCCAACAGTAAAAAGGCAAAACTTCAAAAGGGCCGTCCACCCACAAGTGGCGCTTTACTGACAAGTGGAGCCATGTGGGCTGCGTTAGCACCTTTTTTCCGATGTCTTGTCTACTTCAAGAGCAAGATCTCCATGCCATGATACCAAAATGTTCCCGTCCACCAGGGAGTTTATTTTTAATAGTATGAAAACAAATAGATCCAGAAGGCCAAGAGAGTACCCAAGATAAAAGGAAAATGTTGGAGGTTTAAAGCTCGGGCATCTACCCAAAAACAGACACATCATTTTGTTGACAGCTCGGTTGAACCTACAAGTTGTTTACAGAATATTGAAGACTGAAATCTTTCAAACTATATCAAAGCTGTAGCATAATGGACTCCTAGAACTCTGCAATGTATGGTGATGTTTGACAGTAATCGCAAAATAAAATTACAAGTTCTTTTCATATACAAATAAAAAATTCATTTAGTACATAAAATGGATAATCCCCTAGAGTAACATGATCTTATCATAAGGGAAAACTGAAAAATCCATCCATCCTTTAATGATTCCCTCTATAACACGCATTAAACAACCAAAAGCAAACAGCTTGGCATAACAAATGCAATAATTAAAGAGACCCTGTCACCAGACCATTAATTGCAACACAAATCTTCCTTGCATTTACCAGTAAAAGCCTTTCCTCTGTAGACATGCAAAAGTGCTGATACTGCTGTTCTGTGCCACCATTTTGCATGTGATGTCAGCAGCCCCAGAGCCATCAGTCAAGTGACACTCTGCTCCTCCCCCAGCGCACACCACCACAGTACAGTGGTGTGAACTGGGCTGAGTGTGTGTGTGTGAGTGAGTGTGTGTGAGTGTGAGTAGTGTAGTGTAAATGGGTAAGCCGTATTAGTCCAGTAGAGAAGATGTAAAAAAAAACAAAAAAAACAAACAGTATTGTAGTATGCGATGATACCTTTCTTATTGGACTAACAAAATATATAAAAAGACAACCTTTCGAGAGTTAACCTCTCTTCTTCAGGTCAGAAGCAATTAGGGCTGCAGCTAACGATTATTTTCATAATCGATTAGTTGGCCGATTATTAAGTTTGATTAATCGGTTAATCACAGAAGCAATACTGACCTGAAGAAGAGAGGTTAACTCTCGAAAACTTGTCTTTTATATATTTTGTTAGTCCAATGAGAAAGGTATCATCGCATACTACAATACTCTATTTTTTTTTTTTTATATCTATCTATCTATATATATCGATCTATCTATCAGATATAGAAGTAGATCTATATATCTATATCTATTAGATGCATATACAGGTGAAACTCGATTAGAATATCGTGCAAAGTTCATTTATTTCACTAATGCAACTTAAAAGGTGAAACTAATATATGAGATAGACTCATTACATGCAAAGCAAGATAATTCAAGCCGTGATTTGTCATAATTGTGATGATTATGGCTTACAGCTCATGAAAACCCCAAGAACCCCAAATCCACAACCTCAAAAAAGTAGATTATTACATGCAATCAATAAAACAAGGATTGTACATAGAACAATATCGGACCTCTGAAAAGTACAAGCATGCAAATGTACTCAGTACTTGGTTTGGGCCCCTTTTGCAGCACTTACTGCAATTACTTTTGCACGATATTCTAATTATTCCAGTTTCACCTGTATAAAAACACTAGGGATGCACAGATACAATCTTTTTTGGTATCGAGTACCGTTATTTTTTTCGGTACTGGCCGATACTGAATACCGATACCAGAAGCATCATTACGGAAGCCAGGCGGTGTGTAATCACTCAGTGCCTGTTTTCCCGACTAGCCGGGGGGGCGTGTGATGACTCGCCGCCTGGCTTCCCAATTGCCCGGGAAGCCATCTCCATGCTCTAGCATCACCAGGTATACATAGCTAAAAGTAATACCGTAATAAAAAAACACTCATGTCTGAAAAGTGCATAAAAAACACCTGCACAACACTCAGCCAAAAACAACCATATACACTCAGCTCATGTGTGAATGGGGTCTATTAAACAATGGAATAACAGAACATATTTGTAGTAAGCAAAACAAAAAAAAGCAGAAAGGATATAGTCATGACAGGAGGAGAGAATTTAGACCCAAGGTATGAGAAGCACACGCTTCCAACACAGATTTCACACTGATACCTGATATCTATACGACGTCTCCTCCAGTAACTAAAAGAACCGGTTTAACCAAGCAAACAGAGCAGTAACAAAAACAGGCAAAAGAATGCAAGGAGCCAGGTAGCACTGAACTCAACACGCAGACAAGATCCTGAGTACATACATACAGCTAAAAATTATCAGAGGGCTTCTCAAGATCTTCTAGTTCAGGAAACTTGTATTG